TAAGAATGAATGGTCTTCATGGAGAATGAGGGGCAAAACAAGAGATTTTCTCAAACTCATGTAGTCACAATTTCCATTTTTACCTTAATTGTAACAAAGTTCAGACGATGTGAAGACAGATTTGTACAAATAGGCACAGATGAGTTAATAGGGAACATTCACATGTGCCTCGAAATGCAGTTATCGATACCTTTGCTCATTAGAGTTAATAACCAACACAAACATTATTTGGAGAGTTAGTTATTATTAGCAGTGGCAAAAAATAAGCATCCCATTATTGATAGACGCTGGCACTGTCATCCTAGGAATCTGACTGACTGCCTCAAAGCCAGCTCATAGATATTAGTTGGTAATAGTATTTGTTTGTTTGTTGTAAAAACAAAAGTAGGAAAGAGGGAAGGAAGGGGGGAAAAGAAAGTATTTAGTTTATGTGCCATATGTAAAAAACAAATGTTATTTTTCAAAGAAAAAGATTATATTTCTGTTCTCCAGCTACAATATTATCCACTGTGATATAGTAACATTTGCCTTTGACAGCACAAAAGAACTCCTGGGTAGAATCTCCTTCTTTGTAATTTTATTTTACAAGGTCCTGTGCGGTAACAGGCCCATTAGCAAGTAAGTACAGGGGTCAACCATGAGGGGGTCAAGGTGTTCCATGCCAGGAAGTCCATGGTACCTGCTGGAACTCTGTAGGTGTTCCCTCTAGCAGCAGGGTCAGAGTCCGCTGCTGATTTAAGGATTCCTCGTCCCTGCCCCAACTCACACTCAAAATAATGTCAACAGAGCGGGAAGTGGCTATAATAGAAAGGCTGGTGTAGGTGCCTTCTCTTGTTTGGTAGCCAGTCTCAATGGACCCCTGTGGTAACAAGCTTCATGAAAGAAAATAACACCTTAATCATTTCTAGATGGACATTCAAAAAAGGTTAAGAAACTATTGCCCTAACCGGTTTGGCTCAGTGGATAAAGTGTCGGCCTGCAGACTCAAGAAACTATCTCTTCTGTCTGCCCCAGTTGGTCAGATGTGTCCTGAAATATATGTGCTGTGATCTTTAATTTTCTTGATCATAGTTTTCACTTACCAATGAATACTAAAAAAGTAAAAGACAGACATAAATACTTATTCTATAGAATTTTGTATTCCAAATCATGTCCATCATGTAAGAGAAGTAAAATATCAATTTTAAGTAAC